TCTCTCATAGTTGAGGTATACCTATGATGAAAATTACAGGCCTCTCTCATCTTTTTAAGTGGGAGAACTTGCACAATTGGTGGCTGACTAAATACTTTTTTGCCCCACTGTAACTATGATAGTGATTTTAAGCTATCTCACAACAATTCTCTTGAGATGGAATCAAAGGTTTACTTTGCCACATATAGCATTGCATTGGCATTGCTGGAGCATTTTTCAACCATATCTTGCAAGACCTGCACTTGGTCCCTGGTAGAAACTCTTTAGGTTCTAAAGCCTGCTTATGCCTCATCCGGAATGTTCTCTTCTCCAGCCAATCCTGAACTTTCCCCACAGATATCTAGAATATAGTTTGCTCATTATGCTCAAGAGGCTTATGGGATGGTAGTTAATTGGATTAGTCTACTGCCTTTTTTGAAATATAGGAATGTTCACAGGTAATCCCCAGTCACTGCAGTTGAGGGATGTTTGGTCAGTGTAAATGAATAGTGAAGCAAGGCTACTCGAGGACTGAAGTTTTTGCAGGTGACCAGAAGATAAATTTCCCCAGGAATTCTGACAGAGACAGACAGGACCAGAAATGCATTCTAAAAGTTTTCAGCAGCTTCTCATCTTGAAAAACATAAAGAATTTTACAGCACATATAAAATAACTATAAAATAACTAAGGTACTTCAGAATATAACTGCTAATGTTAGTGTCACTGTCCTTTTTTGATACTTCAGTGCATCATATGTAAGGCTCCACAGTGCTTTGGATTCAAAGATTAAAAAGTGCTTTGGAGCACACAGAGGGTAGTTATACAATCCGAGGATAAGTTGCAGTTGCAGATACAGTATTTTAAGGTGTTATGTAAATGCCCTGCGTGCTGTAAAAACACATTTTTGCCTTCAAAATTGAAATGCTATACAGCTCAACTACATGCTATCATATTCAGTTTAGCCACAAAAGGTCCCACTTTTTTTACTGAAGAAATTCAAAACTGGCAAATGGATAACTACTTGGATAGAAGAAATATCATCACAGTGTTGCAACATGAACTTAACAACAATTACACGTACTGCACTATTTTCTTTCATGCAAGGACAGTATAATGGCTTTCTAAAGAAATGGCAGTGTATGTCAGAAGATCTAAAAGAACCAAGAGCTTATATAAATTCTGCTGTTACCTATTCTCTGCCATCAGAGCCCTATGATCTTTAGGAAAAATGCATGTGAGATGCATTCTTGGTTTTGCACAAAACCAAGAATGGTGAACAAAGGGAGAAGTACGTATTATACAGAACAGATTCTATTCTGTGCCAAAACTACTCAGAAGATTTGTGAATTCATCTCCACCAGCCTTGTTGCATTATGTAGAAAATAAAAGGGCTGGGATAATCAGAAAGAACATTTTCTCTGTAGTAACAGCAGTCATAAAACTCACAGGAAATAGAATTTAACAGTCCAATCCAGTTTTCCCCAGTCTGGGGCCCTCAAATTTCCAGAATTTCCCAGCCAGTATAGCCATTCCTAAGAATTCTGGTAGCTGATATCCACACGTTTGGAGCAGTTCAAGTTGGGAAGGCTGGTCCAAACCAAAACATCAGATGAGAAGACATAAGCAACAACCACCATCACCATGCTCTAAAAAGCTCCCATTACTATTTGCTAGAAAGCTGCCCAGATTAACAACATCATATTTTGAACTTTAGTTTATTTAAACAAAATTGTACTTACCTGGACACATTTACCCCAACTAAGCCAGACCACACTCCTTCTCGTATATGTGGTTTAGATGATGGACGCTTAAGAAGGAAAGAAGCAATATGAAGGAAAATAAGATTCCAATTACTATTCATCAACTTCTGTATTCTGTTCTTGTGACCCAAGAAGAGGACTTCTATAATTACTAATAATTATGGCCAAATCAATAGTTGTAACCCAAATATTATGTTTACAGTCTAAATGCTACAATTTAAACAATGTGCTGTTATTATATATATATTGGAAATCTGTCACATATGATTTCACTCACTTTCACATTTTTCTAACCTTATATTAACCTAGTATTTAGAAACTTAAAAATCTTACCTTCTTCCATGCACATTTCTCCAAATATATGCATTTTTATTCACTTTTCCTATTACATCTTTTTTGCACACATTCTGTAATACAGGAATGGGCAACTATTAAAGGATAACTTAAATTAGAGAAGGGAGGTAGAGAATGTAACTCTGATAGTTTCCTGAGATTTATCAACAGCTTTTGACATAACCAGCTGTAGAATCTTTCTTTGTCACCTAGTCTAAAATAGAGGGGTAGCTGAGAGAACTGCAGTGATTCCTTGATGCAAGGACATTCCTAGAAAATCATATCGGGCTACTGTTCTGCCCTATGGCAACTGGAGTATACCAGGTTTGTATCATTTCTCTTCTGTTTATTAATATCCATTTTTAATATCTAAGAAAAGTCATCTGAATGTTTGAACTAATGTCTTTTACTATAGGAATGACATAAAAGAGTATCTTTCATTTCTACAAACTTGTCTCAGGGAACTGAAGTACTGTGGGTGGGAAAAACCTGCTATCTAAATAAAGTTGTGAGAACTATGCTAAATGGTGCTGCAGCACCCTGAAGAAAGAATGGAACAGATTCTTCTAGTCTCAGTGCCATCTTGGATGTATAGGTGCATTGATTATTATGTCCCATTTGTAAACTTTTAACTGGCTACTCTGAAATCAGGATGCTCAGTTAGATGGTCCTTGGGTCTGATTCTGCAATGCTCTTACACTTTTAAGATGTGATCTCCAATAATGCTTGCTGTCCAAAGTGATACAGTAATAAAGAATTGAACTGGCTGTCAAGTGCTCTAGCAACATTTGTAGATTAGTGTTTTTGTAAGTTTCTTAATTTAATGGAAAGCACTCCTGAATATTACATTCTGGGGGGAAACTCAGGATTTCCTACAGATATTGGTTTCCAGGTAGACAATCTATAAGTGTGGGAAATGGACAATATTTAAAATTGGAGGCTGCTGCCTGCTGGAAGGAGGAGGCATGACCCAGCATAACTCCCTAACAAGAGCAAAAACAGTCACTCTCCAAAAATAAACAGGGGGAAGGAACAAGCCAAATGCTGCAGTTTCAACATACCAGATTTCTTCAGCAAAAAGGGCGCAGAAGGGCAGAAGGACAAACAGAGCTTAGAACGCAGGAAATAGCTTCCTTATATGGGCTTATCCGCAAGCGACAGAGCTCAGTCGACTGGAATGACTGTGTCACAAAATGTGAAGCCTTCAGGGGCTGCAGTGAATGGAGTTTTCTGATCTTTAAATTATTTCTCCAGATTCTTAAGATGCCAAACCTAGGAGACTATAGTGCCAAAAAAGGAGCATTTTGAACTAGGATGCTTTAGGGAAACACACCGCATATGGACGTAAAAGTGCACATACACAGAAGTCCCCATACACATTTTTGTCATCCTATACTGAATTCCCAAACACTAATTAGATGCATTCCCAAACATTAATTAGATGCATAAAGTCATCTAATTTGAGTTATATATGTGCACAAGCTGTCATTTATTATACTTAAAAAAACAAAAAATCAGGTCTCTAATAACTTTTTCCTAAACTGTAAATAGTTGATATCTGTATATACCATTATGAAACTCACCTCAAAGCAAAGTTCCTAATTTGCTCCTATATCTTATAGGCAATATAAAGTATTTAAATGAGAATGGAGATTACAAAACCATGATGATTATAAGAATACTTTTTTTCAAAACTCAACAATCATGGTGGTACTTGGGAAATGTGCACCATTCTATAACACACCCCACAGTTCATGAAAGTTGTAAACTATCTTAACAGCCTCACATTTTTAATTTACACCACTCATTAATTCTTTCCCCAAGGAAGAGAGACTATAGCAAAAAGCATTACCAATAATCAGCAAAGTTAGATATGTTGCTAAGCAGACTGTTAACTTTAATATTTTCTTTCAATGAAAATAACTGTTATGCATCCTTTAGGAATCTTCAATGTCTGTATTAGTTAAAAAACAACTAATACCCTAACCAAATCACAATCAATGAGACCACTGTTTCCTTCCTAGTCTGTAACACACTTAATAGCTCTTCGGGTGTTGTGAAGAAATACTAGCCATACTGAGGCAGAGCAGAGATGAGTGGATTGAGGATCTCTGATTGAAGATCTTAACTTTCCTTGGTCCACTCTTCAATCAAGTACAGAGACATGTTAGTCCGCCATTTTCTGCACTCCTCCCTCATTTTTCATTATGTACGCCCTAGATATTGGCTGAATTAACTTTATGCTTGATTTGAACAAAAATGCTAAATCACATAAAACATAGCTTTTGAGTATAGAATGATTTTGAGCTGATGAATTATTAGAATAGAAAGGAAGATTTAATAAGTATCCCACAGTCATAAATAAACGTGTGTGTGCAGTGTGGATAGACAAAAAGTAAAGTCAAAGTAGGGACTAGATTCAAACTTCATGGGAGACAAAAGTTGCAGTCCTGGACAGGCTTTTCTTAGGAATAAACATCTCACTAAATTCAGCAAGATAACTTTCATTTAAACAAATATAAATTTCAGCTGCAGATTAAAACACAGAAAGTAGTGAACGTAATTTTTAACCCACAAAGAAGAGGAGTGTTTGAAATAAATGGCATCATGGCTGTTAAAGGCAGAAAATAGTGAATAAAATGCCCTTAGATTTTGGCAGAAGGGCATCAGAAACTTTGCAAGAGCAGTTACAGGGGAAAAAAGGCTGGGTAAAAATTAGATTGGACAAAAAATATGTCAAGAACAGAAATGAAAGAATAAAAGTAAAGAATACCTATAGACTACATGCTTGCAAAGTTTAGAGACAAAAGGGAGACATACAATAATATGTAAAGGAAGGAAAAGCAGGATCAAAATGTATTTTTTTCTGTCCATTTCCAATTGATTAAACAGTGCCATCTGATGGAACCCAGGAATCAGGCTTTCTGTGTCATAGCACCTGCCCCCTGAAATATCCCCCCCGAGATTATATGCCCCACCTTATTCAAATGACCACTTAAAACCTGACTCTTCCCTATTGGGTTATAGTGGGTAGAGGATCCCTTGATGGGATTGTGAAAATTCTTGTGGTGACAATTGGTTTTTGAGAATTCTGTTATTTATCTGGACCTCTGGTTCTTGTATTGTTTGTATTCTATTGTTTAAAATTTATATTGTATGCCATATTGGAGGTGGGTGATCTATTAATTAATTAATTAATTAATTAACAAGACTGGATGTAAGGGAGGCATAACATATTCCTTCACTGGAATTAAGCAGGTCTCAGGTGTTATGTCTGAATGAAAGCTGTTTCATATTGCATCATGACAATACATTTTTTTCCAAAGGTAGTCATCTTTATTCACAAAACTATATGGATCTCACAAACTAATCACCAAGTGTGATCATCCTACATAAGTATATAAATTGCTGTTATGTCTAATTCACCTATTCATCCACAAATAGAAGTGTTTTTCCTTGATATAATCCTAGAGCCTCCTGCAATTAGCCCCTACTTGAAACATTTCAAAAAGGTTTAAATTTTCAATATCTTTTGTAAGTGGTTTGTCTCTGGTCTCGCTTAAATGTAACTGCAAAATGCATTTTTATTATCCTTACATGCATGACCATTTGTTAATATCTAAATATCCCAACTCTCTTCCATGGAGATATAACCCATGGCACAGTACAGTGTATCTCAATAGTTTCCAATGTTGCAGGGCTAGCCAATGTGAGGAATAACAGCATTCAAGTAATAGCCATTTCCCTCATCTTTTGATGGGCTCAGGTTAGAAAGAATTCAAAGAATGAAATACATGTGCAGAATTAGAATTTTAATATAACCCTTTCCCATGGGCTTGTGCTCAACACTCAGCAATGATCAGCACAAACTAACAGCGAAGACCAAAATGAAAAGTACTGGGAAATATAGACGCTTAAAAGAGTTATTTTGATGAGAACGATGAAAAATGTAATTGAGGATAAGGAGATAACCCCAGCAGGCTGAAAATAACTAGACAGCTATTCAGGGTTCTACAGGCTAAATAAAAGACCTTGGGGAGCTCCAGGCTGAATGAGGCTACAGCTCATTTTAAGAAAGCTGGCCTAATTAGGGAACATGAGTTCAGCTACATTTTTCAGATTCCTCTTGGAGAATTTGGCAACATTCCAAGGGAACAGTTGGAAGTCCAACACTTCTTCTACAGGCAGCTGGATGGCTTCAAAAGAAGAAACACTGATCCATTCCACAAAGACTTGCATGGGATGGGCAATACTAATATATGCCCTGATCCTCATCTGATGGAAGATGTATTTCTTAGTTTCAAGATATAAATATATATTTAGATAAGAGTATTCAAATAAAAAATCTCTGTAGATCTCCATGTTTCCAAGTCATTTTTTTGTAATAACTTTATTAGAATTTTAAACAAGAAAGATAAAAACTAACAAAAACTAATATTTAGAATAGAAGAAAGAAAAAAAATTAAAGAAAGAGAAAGGACAAAGCCAAAAGTACAGGGGGAAAAAGAAAGAAAAAAGAAACATATAAAGAAGTAACTTCTAATTTTCTTTTACAGCAGCTATAAGTATAATTGTAAATTAACCTCTTACCCTATGGTTACAACGTAACTTTGTTTCCAAGTCATATTAATTAGAGCACATCATTGTGCACATTGCTCTTCCATATTTAAGTTTTATGTCCCAGAAGTACATGATGATATGCTTTAGTTAATCTATCCATAAGCACTGAATTAAGCAAAAAACAGGTGGAACAACTGTAGCACTGCTGAAAGTGGACAGTTCCCATCAATGCTACCTTAAGATATCAAGAATGTCTCAGTTTTGCATGACATAATAAAGATTGCAATAATTTAATATCAATTTCTGTATTTGCTGTACCTCTATCTGCTTTAAGTTTTTATGGTTTCAAATTTGCTTGTTATAAATAGTTAATTTTAATATAATTAATATTAAAATGTTTTGTCAGTTTGGATGAAATAAACCATAGTTAAGTAAAAACTTCTGAATGCCTCCTTCTCAGCCACATAGGAGGAGGAGGAGGAAGTGAGGAAGAATAAAAGACTTGCTGCTGCTTATTTCAGCTCATTATTACTATAATAAAATAAGGGTTTAATATTATGTGAGAAAAAGAAAAATGCCAAATCATAGCAGGCTTCTTACAGTAAGAAGCAGCTGGCTTAGAAACTTCTTGGCAACCTTTTTCTAATTTCACAATCTAAAGAGATCATTTGTTCACATCCCAAGGTCTAGAAACACTGTCTGGCAACATTATCTTCTCTAGTGCCATAGTTAGGCTTTTTAATCTAAGATATATCCTCAGAACTTCTGCATTAGCTTTGCTGATATTGCAGAAAGCAATGCAGTTTTACATCATTTGCTAAGTATCAAAAGGAGATTAGGAAGAACATAGAATATGCATACTATGGCTAATAAGTACTATTTGATAAGCACATAATACCTAGGGTTATTGAATTTTTTTTATTTGGAAATAAATACATTGAATATGTCAAAGCTTTTCAGTGCAAAGAGAAGAAAAATGGAAGTTTATGGCAATAGTTAAAAGTTATACTTCAACATACAGTCATACATATTACTCTGATCCTTACAACTGTAACATACAGCATTTGCTGTAAAGCCCAGCTTTATACTGTTAGTTGACTAACATGCTCCATTTACCAGCAAATCCAATTCCAAGCTGTCCAGACAGTATTGCTCAATTTAGCTGTACCCACCTGTGCAGCTGGAGAGTTCATCTGGCTAAGATGGTTTTCATCTGGGAAGTGATCATGATGAGCACGTCTACCCATCTTTACTACCTACATGAAGAATATTACTGTAGTTATTCAGAAGACCTGCCTCAGAACTGTGCATAATAATGGAGGTTATACAGGGACAGTCACTGTGGCTACCAGTCTATTTTAGTCTAGAGCAATTTATTCTTGGCGACTTGTGGAAAAAAGATTTCTACACATGAAAAATGAATCCAACATTAAGCATGTATAGGATATATTATTTCCTGAAAAATTGAGCAAGTTGGCAAAAAATGAAAAAAATAAACCAGTGCAGGATGGGGAGGGGGGAAAAACAGACAACAGTTTCAAGGGAGGAAAATAAGTGATTAGAATCAACTAGTGTGCTATATTTGACTTGTTTACAAGCTTCATAGGTTAAAACTGAAGGATTCAAGTCTTTTGAACAAACTTTGCTGTCCTAAAAATACTAAGGATTAAATTCCATTGATACAGTATAGTTTACTTCAGAAGAAACATGCTTACAAGCTTCCCCATCCCTTAAATTTATTGTGAGATTCTTTGGGGGCAAAGTTCTTTTTTTGTTGTTGCTGTTTAACTGTCCTGCCTTTTTCACAACATTATATTGGAGGGGGGTCCATGCACAACCATCTTTTGATATGCCTTTATGTGTTACCAAAAAGAGTTCATTAAGGATAGAAAGATGGACAAGCTTCACAGCAATGCTTTTTGGAGCTCTTGCTCAGGAAACCCCTGAGGGTGGTTGATGTATGGAAGTGTTAATAGTCAAAAGGCTTCACCAGGAAGAGTTAAGTGATCAGCTAACCATCGTCACTGTTGCTGTTAAATCAAATTAGGCATAGCTTCCCCGTTTGCGGATGCCAACTGTTTGCTTGTAACAGCTATCAAGGAGCGTTTCTGCTGAGACACACACCGCCCTCCCTCCGAGATAACCGTTTGCCCGGGAGGGTCTGCAGCAACAGCTCGCTTTGCCATTTAAAGCTTTTCTAACGACCGGCGCGCCAAGTCTGAGTTTGTTCAGCTGAGCCGCGCCTATCCAAAGAGATCTACTCGGGGGCTTGGGATGGGCAGGGGGCAACGACTGTGGCCGCGAGGTCCGGCCAAATGCTTCGCCTGCCAGAGGAAATCACACAAGGCGGGCTGGAAAACCGGGCAGGAAAGAGGCCCCTCCGTCACCATGGCAACCATGCCCCAGTCCTCGCACTCTTCTTACCCCCTTGCAGACCTCCTCATCCAACTCCAACTCGTCCTCCATCCCACAGGCCCAATGAGCCGGAGCGCGAGGTGAGGGGGGGCACGAGGAATGAGGAGCCGTTCACTTCCGGAGGAAAGCCCCGCCCTTCAAGCGTCCATAGCAACTACGACTTCCCTTAAAAGGTCCGCAGCCTTCTGGCTAGAGGAGTCGAAGAAGGGTGCTGGCGGAGGTATTCTTGTATTCTCTGCTGTCGCCCTGGAGGATTAACTACTGTACGAAGGTGCTAGCAAGGCCCGTGTTTAAGCACTACTCAGTCTTCAAAAGAACTAGAAATGTCTCTGGGTCAGGGATCTGTGGAAGCGCAATGAGGACAAGCTGCTCTCTAAGAAAAGCGGAATAGTCGAAAATTTAATGTCCACGAGGGCTCTGCGTTTGTGTTTCAGATGGAGAACGTCTCCCTGAACCGAATGCTTGATTTTCAAGAGATTGAACCCCAGAGCATTTCTCATATTAGAAATTTCCATGCAGGTAACTATTTTGGAATGCCTCTTTCTGTTTTATATTTCGCTATATACAATTCTTCTGTCAGTAATTGTACCCACTGCTTAGGGCTGGTACTGGAGGTGATTGTTGGAATAAAATCAGGATAAACATTGAGGATCCAAATGATCACATTGATATACAAGAAGCCTTCCTTAAGCTGGTGTCCTCCAGATGTAAAGTTCCAGCTCTCTTTCCTAAGTAGTTATGCTAGTTGGAAGTGATTGAAATTGCAGTCCCACAGCCTGAAATGCACCAAAGGGAAAGGCTGATGCCCTGAGGTCATAATTAAAAGCAATTTGATGGGCTACAAATGGCTGATGTCCCAGATGCTTATATTTCCTGGAGTCTCTTCCATCATATTTTCAAAGTTATGGCAGTTCAGAGATTAAACAGTATCACACACAGAACATTATGAAATGTGCTATGGAAAGTATTATATATTTAGCCGCAAAATAAAAGTGAAACCCTTTTCTATGGCATTTGCTGTGGTCTGTTTATTGTCTCTTCATTTCCATAATTCCACCTGCTGGAAATTTTTTGCACTTACATGCAACATGCATACTTACACGCTAGCAAAGCAGTCACATGAGTAATCTATCACACAATTTTTGCTCAATATACAGCAACGTACATAAAATTTTTGTTACAACATGCGGATAGTGATAATGCATCACTGAATGCTCTAGTAGCCATTTCTGTCACTTTGGAATATGTAATGTTAATTGGATTCATTGGACACTAATGATTGATTTTCATCAGGTGACTCAACCTTTATGAGAAAGGATGAGTTCCTTATTTTCTAAATATTTAAATTGCTGCTTTCTATTTATATTATCTTCTTTCTCTTTATACATTTAGAGAACTTTTGTCATGGAATTGTTTTATTGTGTTTTGGTTGCTATATTTTATATTAAGTTTTGGGTATTATTTTGTAATAGAAAAGTAAAGTACATATTTGACAATAAATCAACTGAAATATTACTTATGGATGTAAGGAATGACATATTTCCAGCAGGCATCTTTTCATTCTAAGAGCCGCTAAAATAAAACTGGAAATAGGATGTCAGGGCAAGTGAAATGGTTCATAAAATGGAAAGGTCACATTAGGTACACTTTAGCTTTAAGATTCAAGATATTGTTTAGCAGCTGGAAATAACTGGGAGGAGAAGACGACATAATGCCAAAATATTCAATCCATTCTCCTTTTCCGTTTCAGGGACAAGCTTTCTTGAAAACCATTCCAAAAAGGGCTTCTCCTAAAAGTTAGGAGAACACTGTCCACCAGAGGGCATTATTCGCTTCCTTGGCTGCACTTTACTCCTAGCCTGCAGCGATTTATGTAATAAATAAAATTAAAAAATTAAAAAGTGGGGCGGGGCCTCTACAGAGAGCATAGTTCTTTTTTATTGTTATTTTTAAAGATGCTTAAGACGAGAACGGGGGGGGGGATAAAAGAGAAATGCAAAGATGGATTTATAAATTCTAAAAATTAAATTAAAGAGAACATACAGTAGTTCCAAGTCGCTTGCTATCTCAGTTCGCAACCTCACATTCGAAAGCTGCCCATCCCCAGTATTCTACGAAAAAAGCAAAACCGGAAAGAACAACGACCTCTTCAAAACACAGCATAACCCTTTTTTGTTTTCAGGATCAACCTCTTATGATGCTGTTACGGCAACTGTCAGGCGAGCTTTTCAATGCTGTAGCATCCTAAAGTCATATTCTTAGGCCACAGTTAAAAATGTGGATCTTTGCTACAATCCAACCGATCTGCAAGGTTTACTTGGAAGAAGTCATTCCACCAAGCTTTATATTTGAGCATGGCTGTGGGATCGAATCAGTTCGTTAGTCAAAAATGTTTAGTACAAGGGAATGATCGAGTGCAGGATCATACAGGTGTGCCAACACTTAGATTCCATTCGTTGGCACCACCGTCGATCACGAGATCATGACAAAACACCAGCACAGAAAACACCAGTTTCGTGATGCTTCTAGGACGTCGGTTGTAACAGAGGTTCCTCGAAGAATTTCGGACTATTTTTCCCTATTTTATCTCACGCCCCACACCCTAGATTTTCGGGCCAGCGATTCTTCTGAAAAAGAAAGAGGGAGGAAAAGAGGTTAACGTGTTGATACAGTTTGTGGGGCGAACCTCTTCAGCTCCTATTGATAACCCCAACGAAGCTCGGGAGCCGAGACCCCTAAGCGCGGCCGCCTTCCCACAGCGGGAAGCGCCCCATTAACATTGCGCTGGACGCGAAGGCTGGGCTTGGAGAGAGCCCTCATATGCTCCCCCTGTGCCCGGCCCGGTCTCAAAGACGTCATGAGAGGGAGGTATAAAATTTCAAGCGAGAGAAACAGAAGCAGGCAGTGCGCCTTGCGAGAAAACGCAGAGGCGGCGGCGGGGTCCGGGGGGAGCTCGGCGGCAGTCGCGAGCAGAACGTCGGCGTCTCGGCAGAAGAAAAGAGACGGCTTCTACCAGAAACTGGGCAGCCGGACGACGGAGGAAGGCGGACGAGCTCCGAAAGCCGGCCAGGGGCAGCGCCAGCGGCTTTGCCCGCCCGCGCCAAACGCCCCCGCCCCGTGCGCGGCGGCGGCGGCGGCGGCTGAGGCAGTTCAGGCGCACCTCTTGAGGCGACCCCGCTTCGGCGCTGTTCCCACCGGCACGGCGAGCCACGAAAAGGCATGAATGGGGCGCACCGGCAGCCACAAGTGCGCTCTCGGGCCCGCCTGACGCGTGCGCTCCCGACGGAGTCTCCCGGGCGCCTGCCTCCTCGGAAGCTGCCCAGCAGCACAGCGGAATTCGGAGCCCGGGCGAAGCGGTGAAGCCGGCAGCTCGCCCTTCCCCCCGGCCCGATTTGCCCCCTGCGCGGACGCCTTCGCACTCATGGAGAGGAACCCCGGCGGGGCGAGGCGCCGATCCGCTTCCTCCTCTACCTCGAGAGCGGCCAGCGATTCTTCCTAGGCTAGAAGTCCAACCCGCTCCCGAGGCCGGCGGGGAAATCCTTCATGCCCCTTCTTGCCAAGTGCCAAGCTGCAGGATCTGCCCGGTCGCCCGCACCTTTCTGTGTGCGCGCTTTCCTGCGGAGATACCCCGCCGCTCTTTCTCCACCCTGCACCACGCCTGAAGATGCACTTGCGCAGGACTTTACTGCTCCTCTCCCTCTTGAGCTTGGCCACCGTCAGCCTGTCGCTCTCCTCCTGCACGACGCTGGACCTGGAGCACATCAAGAAGAAGAGGGTAGAGGCCATCCGGGGCCAAATCCTGAGCAAGTTGCGCCTAACCAGCCCTCCAGAGAGTGTGGGGCGAAGCCACGTGCCCTATCAAGTCCTGGCTCTATATAACAGCACCCGGGAGCTCTTGGAGGAGATGGAGGAGGAGAAGGAGGACAGCTGCTCCCAGGACAACTCTGAGTCAGAGTACTACGCCAAAGAGATCCACAAGTTTGACATGATCCAGGGCTTTCCGGAGCACAGTAAGTCCTTGTTCCTTCTGGGTTCCCAGAGGGCCATTTAAAGAGCAGGAAGAGGTGAGAGATGTTGCTTACCGAACTTTACACTTCAGGGAGAAAAACACAGCAGCCTGAAAGCTAAAGGTTCAAGAGTGGAAAAGACTGGGTGACAACATCTGAGCTCTTGTTTTTCTTTTACTGTACAATCTGGGAAAGTAAAAAAGGGAGGCAGAGTGCCCTAGAATGACTGAGTCCCTGTATAAGCTTAGATCTGAATCCAAGGCCCAGGAGACTGGATTCTCTGCAATTGCTTAGTTGTCTGTAAATTCCTGGTTGCAGAAATAAAGAGCATTTCTCTGCCAGGTCTCTTGAGAGATGTGTCCTGACAACAGAAGTCCCCCCCCCCCCTTTAGGATGCAGAATCCTGTCTGGCCAAGAGGTTGGCAATAGCTGTTCATTGCGGCATTGACTGCACTGTGCGTGTATGTGTTATGACTGCCTGCCAGAGCACTGATGTTTATGCAAATGGATGAGGGTGTACTTGTATGCATATTGTCTGGACATATATTAGTTGCACAAGTGACCTTTGCAAAGATTTTATTGTGTGGTGTGTGTGTATCTCTACAAAAGACATATGTAGATGTGTTTCCTACATAGCCAATAATGTGAAGTGTATGTCTTGGATGTGGAGAGAACATTTCGTCGAACAGGACAATAAAATGTATCTGACTTTAGAAGCGGCATACAAATTTAACTCATCTATGAATGTTGTGGCCAAACAGACTTACACATTGATTTGTTCATACCTATCTATGATCTGATCTCTTAGCAAGCATATTTCAGGTTTAGGTCTGATAGTATGCTCAGATGGGTTTTCTAATAATGGAAGAGTCAGGGAAGGAGGCTATGAGTCTCTGGCCATGGCTTATTTTTCCTTTGCTGCCATTAGGTGTCCTCATGGGCTCTTGAATTAACACAGAGCTGAGTGGGAGGTGAGATGGAGGACGTGGCCAAGTATCCTTGAGGGAGGGGTAGAAAAAGCAATAAGAGAAGAGAATGGCAGGAATATCTTTCAGGCTGTTGGTGATGAGTGTAGAGGGGCTGAAGATGGGTTGAGTGATGAGGGTCAGAGCCTAAACAATTCAGGCTGCAATCACTGCACTCTTTCTTGAAAGTATGTTTTACTAAGGAAAGTAGGGCCGGCTTCTGAGCAAACATAGATAGCCTCTGGGAAGTCTTCACGTAACCTCTCCGAATCCAAGAGTTACAAATGTCAGGTTTTTGATGTTGTGCAGCCCCCTCCCCATGGATAGAAGACTTTAGCATTGGTAAGAAGCAAACCAGGGCTCAGCCAGCTTTTGATGTCTTGGAATAACATCATCCACAAATCCAGCCAGTGAGAGAAGAACCAAGGATATCTACAAAGCTAAAGTAGGAGGCAGGGGGGAAGAGAGCAACAAAGAACATGAGTGGGTGGGAGCAATGCACTTCAGGACAGAGAGAGCAAAAAGTGTTTTGATGCTTTGAAGCCAAAATTATTTTTGAAGGACTGAGTAGATATATTAATATGTTCCATATGTGACCAGCAATCACTGCAGATGCTGGGCAAGCTTTCTCCTACAGAGAATACATAATGCATATTCAGCCACAACTGGCATGGTGGATTTGGATTCTGCTTTGCATGCAATGAAGTAAGTCATGGGATAATCAGTAGTCAGCATGACCATTCAACCTGCACTCAGGAGCAGATCTGGAATTGTAAGGAAAACATTTGGTAATGCTTATGGCAGTTTTAGTCATTCAGCCACTTAAACCTTTTGCCAGTTCTGCATGCAGAAAACTCCTCCTTATCCCCAGCTCCCTATTGTGGTAGTATGTCCTGATTGCCACAGTAGTTTTGCAGCCAGGTTGCTGTTGGACAACAAAAAGGTGCTGGTGCCTTTCCATGCAGAACATTGGCTTTCTTTGCATTGGGGGCAATCTCAGCTCGGACAGCACAGTCCTTACCTTGGCAACAAGGGTCTGAGTTAGAAACGGTTAAACTATGTATGAGCAGCTACCCTTCCTAAGTGGCTTTTCATGCGAGATACACCCACAGAGTTTTGTTTTTTAAATTTTCAAGAGAACGTCATGCTGTTCCCGCTTCAAGAAATTTGTAAGTTGAAAAATGTGAATATGAATCAAAGTCAAAAGAACAGAAGTGGCACAGTAGCTTCTTCGTAATGCTGAGGGGGTTATGAAAATGATACACAATAGAACAGATACAGCAAAGCAGAGGAGAAGAAGATTCTGGTTCACAAAGTGGGCTTTGTGAAGGTCAAAAAAAAAAAAACACCACCAAAGATACAGATGTTGTACATCTGTGCCTCCTCTTGCTATGAAACAGTAGAAATATGGAGCCCCAGAAGTTGAACAAACAATAAATGCCCTGAAGCTATATGACATGTAAAATAATATTGCTGGGTTTTAGCATTTCACCGTGGTAGTAAAATAGAGGAGTTAATAAGGTATTGCAGTACTTAGACTGTTGCATACAAGTATGTTTGCCTCATTTTTCCTGAGTGGTGAGAAGTTTCAGGGGTTCAGTGCTTATCCAGGGTAAATTCATTTTAAGAAGATCACAGGAAGCTTATGGAATTATGCAGTATTTGAGCTTAGATACAAATATACAAGTTGTGCAGAGATAAAACCCCCGTCATTTAAATATCCCTCAAATTAATTCCACTGCTTCGTATTCAGTTCTCAAAGAGAAGTAACCAGTAGCACAGGATGCCTCCGTGACCTGCTCAGTTCAGCCCCCTTAACTGTGTTGCCTTCAAAAAAAGCACTGCAGTCTCAAGACTTGCTCCTGTTGTTCCTGTGCTAACTTGGATGGCATCAGCCTTAGCTGGGAGAGGGCCCCACTGCCCTGTCTGGAAGGCTTGAGGAAGGTCCAGTTATTGAAAGCAATCAGTCAACAAACTATTTAGCAGAAGATATACCCTGAAAGTTTGCCACCACCTTTTAAATTCTGCCCCATCTCCTTGTGTAGCAACATGCCGAGGTAAGTTTCCCTGAACAAATACCACTTGAAGAATGAAAAACACCTTCTGCATCCTTAGCCAACATGGTTATATTAAGTGGGATCATGGGAGTTATAGTTCAGTAAAGCTGGAACGTTACTTACTTGCTCAATTATTTTCCTAATCCATATAGGAACTAACTGAACAAATTGTGCAGCAGCCTAAGAATGTCTTTATGCAGGAGATAAATGAAAACACAGGGAGGGCTGCTTGGAGTGTTATATAGGAAATGGCTATTTCTGCCTGTTCACCTTCCTACAAATCAACAAGGAATTTGGTGGAAACTTCCAATGCTCTACATGAGAGGCAGGGAAACAATTAATGGATATAATATATTCCACCCCTTCACATGTTTTCAAATATCATAACCAGAAAAAAAATTCCATGAATGACCCTCGGGATTCCTATGTATAGCAAGCTGCAATAAATAATGAGGCGACAATGCAAATATCTCCATATTTTAATTTGACTAAACTGCCCCATAAAGATATGTGATCCATGTCAATAGCAACGATTGTCAGAAGCACATTTCAAGGGAAAGAAAAAGGGATAGTAGTCAACATTGTTAATAATTTAACTTTAGTCATAGAACAGTGATGAGCTACATTTTGTTGGTGGGGACTATAGATGTTTTTAGAAAACCAAAGTGGTGGGTGCCTGCAGCCTAGCTGGATAATAGAGGTATCCCGGATGCTGCTCAGGGAATGTCAGGGAACAACTCCAGCAATATGTCTTCTGCTCAACAGGGGATTTGTGATTGGCCATCTCTGGCAGTTGTGTTATGAATACCTATTTTGTGAGAGTGACTACAATATACTCCTAACATCCCAAATATGGGCCAGCCCCAGAAAGGTCTCTATTCTGTATTAGGGAAAAGGATATTTGATTTGAAGGATGTCCTGGAAAGCCAAAGAGGAGTTTGATGCAAAGTCAGTATACTCAGGCAGGGAGAGAAACTGCAGGCAAAGATAAAGGTAGCAAGAGCAGAGGTTTGCTGATATTAGCCCAGAGTCAACCAGGTAGGTAGTTGCTCACAGTGAGAAGTTGAACTATGGACTTTCTGGGAGAAAGTGTTGTTTTGACTTGTCTCCTGGGGCCAAACAATTTGCATTCCAAGAGATGCCATTGAAGTTAGATCATGATGAGAAAAGTAAGAGTGCAATTTAACCCTGGTAAAAGCAGAGGCCTGCCTTGCTGAAATCTGTGCCATTTCTCCCCCTTGCCTGAATGATGGATTTGGTCCCATGTCTTCAAAAGTGGCCAGTATTCAACTTTCCCCTGGCTTTGTCTCTCTGCCAGGTGGTGATTCAGAACAAACAGAGAGCCAAACCACTCTCCTCTCTCCCCACTCCCCGCCACCCGAGGAAGTGGGGCAAGTCTTATTCCATTGAGGTTTCAGTGCTGATACAGACAATTCTGAACGGCACACACAGGAAATAGCCCTGGCTCCAAACCGTTCATCAGATAGTTGAGAGAATTTGTCTTGTTCCAGGACTTTAGTCCTGCAGAGGAAGCAAGATAGCAGGAGGAGGAGAGCTTTTGCTCTGATAGAAAAGCAGGCAGCCCCACATCCTGGTTCCAAATGATGACAGGAGAAGAAGTGGACCCTTATGTATGCACACACCCTGCCTCCTCAACATTTCATCTCTAGGACAGGAGTGTACATGGCAAAAAAAAAAAAAAAAATCTGATGGCTGCTGTCCACATGACGCCATGTGGCAGGCTTCCCAGAGCACTACATCTTTGTTTCTTGTCAAAAGCAGCAGAGAGCACTACATCTTTGGGGCTTGGGGGAGCAGCCTGTGTGTGTGGGCGAGGAGTCGTCGAGTTAAAGACCCCACCTAGCCCTCTCCTGGTGGTCTGCTGTTTGGGCTTAAGGTGTGAAGCCAACTTCTGGAAAGAAATCAAAGCCTCCAAAGAGGAGACAGAAGGAGAAAAGGAAACGCAGCAGTTAGCACGTGTAAGGAAACACTTGGGGCTGAAAAAGATTAATTTTACCTATTTCAATCTAAGTTTGACCTACGAGTTGGCATTCAATCCCTTGTGGTGGTCTTGATGAATTATTTCTATTGGGAGGTGATTTTCTTGGGTTTCTCAGTAGCTTCTGATAACATTGATCAGGAGGAGGCAACCTCAGAGTCCCCTCTGATTATACCACTAGATTCGAGTTTCCTGCCATTTTGAGATGAGGAACATACAAGAATTGCAGTAGAGACCAAAATATGTGTGATGTGGGTTTTTTGTTTTTTTAAAAAAATGTGTTAACACATCTGTTCTAAAGCTAGTCAGGGAAAAAAGAAAAAATCACACTGCCAAGCATTGCTACTTGTCATCTGTTGTCCAAAGGCTTCCTCAAGATTGCACCAACAAAATTTGGTGGCAAAACTACTTAATGAGGGGCTTGTGGTTTTCTGATGGGTTTTGGAATATTTATTTATTTATTTTGGAAGAAATAAGAAAAACTGATGTGTGAGCCTTTAACAAATTGAACACAGCTATTTTAATTGTAAAAAAAACAACAACCAAATTATTAATTCCCTGGCAGGTTTAGGTGAGAACATGTTTGAAAGCAATGCATTTTAAAAAAAATCTTTTGGCTTTTGATGGCCTGGTTTTAGCTGCTTATCCTTTGCAATGGTTTTAAACACTTTTTTTTTGTTCTTTATTCATTTTAAGATTGTTCCTTGTCCTGAATATTGGGACAAAATTATTGATAAGCTTAAATGAATGAATTGTTAAATGATGGATACCTAAAGGTAACCAGTTTATCGATGCATACTAGGGCCACTGTTTCTATTGCCCTCAAATGTTTTAATCTGCCTATGGTGCAGCAGCTGGAAGTAATACATTTTATTGGGTAATTTTAGTTTAGCATTTTTTTAATTGAACATCTTCACGTGAAAACTTTTTCCCCCCTTTGGGGCAGTGTGGCAACCACTACCTACCACATCCATTTTGGAAAGGATGGGGTATTTTTTCAATCTATGCAAATCCTTTCAATTTAGCCAGGGGTTAACTCTGCCCCAATTCTTCTACCTAGTATATTAATAATGCTTTCAATCCTTGTTGGATTATGATCTCCTTCCTCGACACCTCAATATTTATGTGCCATTCCAGCTCATTTGTTAACCTACTTTTGTCACTTTGTCTTAGATGAGCTGCCACTGTGCCCCAAAGGAGTCACTTCCAACATGTTCCGCTTCAACGTGTCTTCAGCAGAGACAAACAGCACCAACCTCTTCCGGGCAGAGTTTCGGGTCCTGCGCTTGCCAAACCTCAGCTCCAAACGTTCTGAGCAGCGTATTGAGCTCTTTCAGGTAACCATGCCTCCTAGCAGGGCCTCCAGGGCACTTGGAGGGAAGATCTGCTGTTTGCAGTTGACATTTTTGCTTTCTTTCCGGTCCCCCCAGACCATGAACACTAACCTTTCCACTCTGGTGCCTGATCCCTTATGGAATAGCTTTGTTTCCCAGAACAGTTTTTTCCTATAGAAGGCCAGGGTGTGGTGAAGGGAGAAGGAGAAAGGCTATGGTTGTCTTAGCATTAGGAAATTCATCCTCATCATTTTATAGACAAGCCATGATATGTGCTTGGACTCAATACCTAATACCCAGCAGTTAAAATCTAGTAAGGGACTCTTCTTGTTCTTTGCTCGTTCTTTTTTACTGAAGGGTTCATCTTCACATCCTTCTACATTCATCTTGAGGAGGCCTAGCTAACCATTTTGAAGGACCCTACCCATAGCATAGCCTTCCCCTCAACCATAGTTCATAGCCAAAACCAGCTGATGTCAGGTTTTTCTGAATTGAAACTGAAAGGGGGTTTTCCACCTTCCCCTGGCAGAAGCCAAGCTATTTGCACTGTGCTTGGTACTTTGGCTGCTACTAAGTCAAGGATGCAAAGTAATGGGATCTGTCCAGCTCCTATTGACCACTTTTGACTGGTGTGGGCATGCCCCCTCCCATCTGTTCTCCACTGCACAATGTGTCAGCCAGTTGGCATGGCTGTCAACATACTGTGCAGGATTCCTCACAGTTCAGCAAACCTGCACGGCTGCTGACATGCTTCTGCCAGAAGGTGGAAAAGTTCCAACTTCCAGCACCCCTACCCCCACCTGCTGGTTGCAGCCAGCATTATCACCACGTGCGACCAGTTAGCATGGATACCATGTACCGTGTGGGGGATGAGGGGATAACCCTATGGCATGTTGACTGGTAACTCACTGGCTGACGTGAGAAAGTTCTCCCATTCCAGGCAATGCCCCCTTGAAAGTCTTGTGGACAGTGTGGAGTATCTGGAAGGCAAGAGTATTATTGGGGGGGGGGGGGGCAGGTCACATGGAGGAGGGGCTCCTAGTGAGTCAGGAGAGGAGAGCACCTTCTTCTCTTCTGGAAATCTCCCTCCCCACAAGATCAGGTTCTAACAAATGGTTAACCCATCACTCTAGTTATCTGTCACAATTTCTCCCCCACCCCACATCAGGAAGAGCAACCAATGCAAATTTTATCCACCATCTGGGAAAACCACAAATTGCTGCTCCTTAACTTACCCCACAGTAAATAGCTACAACAGCGACACTCTTAACTGATGCAGACTCTGGTCTGGCTATCTGGACAGAGCACATTGGTGCTGGTGTGCGTTGTGCTGGAGGACAGCGTGTTCAATCAGCTGTCTGGATGTACCCAAAGACAGACACTTCACTCTTCCTAACATTCCCAGCACAGGCCATAGTGCCTTCAATAGACATTCCGTAGGCTGTAGTAACACATTGTGCTGTTCTTGAATATTCCAAGGGCTTAACATACATTTATCTCAATAACAGTTTAGAGTAGGACTATAGCAAATGTGGGGCAGAGGGGATAAAGCTGAGGAACCCTAGAGTGAAAAACTGTGAAGCGTAAGTATAGGCTGAGGGAAGGTTTAACAGGAACCTAAATGCTGGTACCCTAAAATAATTTTATTTTCCTTTTATTGTAATGTTGTGGAGTCCTTGGGGTTCTCTGAGCTGGGTTGTTTTCTTGCAGACATTTCATTACCCAGCTAGGTAAATGAAGCATCTGCAAGAAAACAACCAAGCTAAAAGAACCCCAAGGACTTCACAACGCAACTCTGAGCTACATATATTCTCTTCTATTATGTTATAAATCCTGATACATTGTTTTATTTCAATGCAGATTTCAGTGCAGTAATGTTTATATAATATTATTAACATTATTAACATTCTACTATTTAAAAAGTTTAAAGTATTGAAAATAAAAAGAAAAAAGTGAAAATTCTATCAGTATTAATTGCCTTTTAGGATTTTAGTGTTACAAACATTGCATTATTTAACTTTTCATCCAAAGTTGAGTACTGTATAAGATTAAAAAAAGAACCACTGCAATTCACATCAGAGTATTAGTTATACGATAGTGGTTTTGGTCTTGAACTAATTACTTAATATTAAGATCTCCAAAGTATTGTTACTTAATGTATGTGTATGCATGTATGTACAGATGCTTTTCAGGTTACGACCACTCGTTCAGCGACTGTTTAAACTTGCAACGGAGCTGAATGAGGGCGACCTACGATGGATCCTTCTGTTCTGGCCATCGCAGTGAGCCTGGAATATATATGTTGATAAAAGGAAATAAAAGATAGATAAAGCAAATTTAACAAAAATTAAAATACATAAAAGTTAAAATACCTAAAAAGTAGAAAAATAATTGGATTGGATATTAAAAATAATTATTTTATGGTGTTTTAAAAAGTGCTTAGAACTGTCCATCTAGCACTGCTGCCCATGGCAAAAAAGCTGGAAGGAGGAAGCATATTAATTTCTTACCCAAGTGCTAATGTACCTGTGGGGCAGGGGGTATGATCAAGATGGCAGCGTGCAACATGCATAAAAAAGAGGTGGGGCTATCTTGACTCTTTTTACTCTGCTTGTTTCTGAGCTACTAGCTAGAATACTGCCACTTTCCTTTATTATCATCTAAGCAAGTAAGTGAAATAAATTAATATTTAGGGGAGAGGGCGCCAGCATTTTGCAGGGCCAGGCCAGGGGTGTGATCTAACTAATTTGGTCTGGTGTGCAAAGCAGTTGGTTCTTTTTCTCCCCAAGATCTGAATTGCTGCGTCTTTCCTCATTTTGTGCAAATGGCTCTAGGACTTTGTATTGCTGGCCTGAGAATAGGGGGTTTGCTCTTGGGCACTGTAGTTTCAGACCAAATAAGGGGGTAGCAGTGAGTCTTCTGTGGGAAGGGACCCATAGGCAGATCATTCTGTGAACAAGAGACATGCAGAGCAGGAGCGGGAAAAAAGAGGCAAGCCAGGACTGTGTGAAGAAGCCACCTTTCACTGCACTGTCAACCACCACTCCCTCTTTTCCTTGCAAACTGAAGATGGACCGAGTGCCAGCCTGCCCCTTCCCCTGCGGCCATCCCAGGAACATGGCGGGTGGGGGGCAGACACAGCATGGGGCAGCAAGGGTGCAGCGGGGAGCACTCGAACCATGCCCTGTCTCTCACCTGATCATGTTGCTGATTGTTCCATAGTTGGGTAGCACCCCTGGCCTAAGTCCTTTTGTAATTATAATCCAGCATCGAAAAACATATACTTTACATAAGGGCACTCAGAAAGTTCTCCATTTGAATCAAGGAATTTCACTTCATAATTCAGCATAGCATAATGCAATGCTTATACCTATCTGATTGACTGATCAATTATGTGCAATCACATCAGTGCCTACTCTTAGCAGCCATTTACATAGATTTTCTCCTAATGATCTATCCCTAACCTGGTCCTTCAGGTCTTCCAATGATGCACTCATCGCCACTATAACTGAGTCCATCCATTGCTGATCATCCTCTTCTTCTCTTTCCTTTCACCTTTCCCAGCATTAGAGCCTTCTCCAGAGAGCTAGATCTTCACATAGTGTGTCCAAAGTAAGATGATTTAAGTCTGGTCATCTGTGCCTCTGTGAGAACTCTGGGTTGATTTGTCTGATGAACCATTTGTTTATTTTCTTGGCTGTCCATGATATTCTCAGAACTCTTCTCCACCACCAAAGTTCAAAAGCATCAATATTCTTCCTATTCTGCTTCTTCAAAGTCCAACTTTCTCTTCCACATAGAGTTAAGGGAATACCATTGCTTGCATGATTCTGATCTTTGTAGGTATAAACACATCATGGCATTTGAATATCTTTTCCAAGGCCTTTGTGGCTGGTCTACCAAGTGCTAGTCTGCAGTGTATTTCTCGACTGCTTGTTCCTTTACTTTTGATGTTTGATCCTAAAAGACAGAAGTTATCCCCAACTTTAATATCTTCATTGTTAAATATGCCTACTTACCTGGGAGAAAACCCTACTGAATGAAGGTTCCTGCAGATATTTGTGTGGCTCCCTCCCTTATGTCATTCAGGAAATTTTGAAGACCTGGTTGTTTCCCCAGGCCTTGGGGACAGGATGATCATGGAACCCCCTTTTTGGTTTTGGTTTGGTTTGGTTTTTGTACTTTATTTTATTCATTTATTTATTTTAATTCCTATAGTTGCCCATCTCATCCAAGTGACTCTGGGCAGCGAACAATCATAAAAACAATTTGCTCTTCTGTTCTGTTGTATTTTCTTTTCATAAGTTGATTCTTAGTTGTAAGTCTCCTGGAGTCATTTAGGATTTGGGCAGCCCTCTAAATTACCAAATAAATATAAACAAACAGACATATTCCTAAGTAGATAAGTGAAACATCATACTGTTAGTCATTTACATTATCCTAGTTCTCCAGTGCTGTAATCTGATTGAGAAGTGAGAAAATATCAAATAGGAGTATTGTATCAGAAATCATTTCTGAGCACTATGCTTATTCAAAGCACCTTTATTAAACAGAATGAAATATATGTATTTGAAAGCCAGATGCTCTACTAATAATTTTGGAAAGTATTAGTCCTTTGAACCACAGCTTTCATCTATGCTCCCTTTTAGTTCATTGCCGGCTACTTACACAGAGCTGCTTCTAGGAAGATGTAAAGCAACTTAGGTACCTAGGCTAGTATTGCTCCAAGAATTCATAGTAATTGTAGCATATGAGAAGCGAAGCCCTTCATGTGGAGGCATAAGCAGCTCTCACAATCAGGAGCATCAGGACATGGAGTCCTTTCAAGCAGTTTTCTAGCAAAACCATGGGCCCAATCATGATACAGCTCAGCCTCAGCCTGTAACTTCATCCCCTTGTGTTATCATCTCCTGTGTTTTATCATCACATCTTTATGTGCATGCTTTCCTGTCATACTCAAATTTTCTTTTCGAAAGTACAGCTAGAATTTGCTCAGATGTGCCTATGAATCGCACTGGATATTTTACATATGATTGCTTTCATACCCAGGAAACCAGAGGCAAAAACAGTTACTCAAGCATTCTTACAGGAAGAGTTGGCCTTATCAAAGGAAACCCAGTAATTGTCCTTTCTGAACTAAACAGTGCCTTGCATCATCTTCTTCTGTAGATCCTGAAACCTGATGAGCATATTGCAAAGCAGCGGTACCTCAGTGGCCGAAATGTATTGATACGGGGCTCCCCTGAATGGCTGTCCTTTGATGTCACAGAGACGGTCCGTGAATGGCTTTTGCATAGAGGTGAGTGGCACATGAACTAAGTCACTTTCCTCTCTGTTAGCAAGATGCACGTGCCTGCTCAGACAGAGACATATAGGAAAACCACCCTTTCCCCACTTGACAGGCTCCATAGGTATTGGACTGCAATTTCTATCATGGCCAATAAGAGTTAAGTTCTGGGAATTTCATTGGGAAATTCCAGACTGGAGAAATCTGGTGTGAATTGATTCCAGTATTGTTTTTATATATACATTTTTTCTTATATAATTAGTAATGAGAAACACAGCATACCATGGTTTACAAATTGATTTCTCGGTTGCTCAGGTTCACAGGTACATTAGCATCTGGGTATCAGCCAAAGCTGAGTTATAGGCAAGTGATTTTAGCAGAGTAGTGATCATATGCCTGAACTGTTGGTACGGCCAAGGTCAGGAGATCTTTTCCCCTAACGTGTTGTGGTGGTAATGCTGAGAGCTACAAATGACAGGGTCTTGCCCTGGAGCCTTGTAACTTATGCAGCACAGCAGTTGCTTCAGAGATCAGCACTCAGCAGAGAATAATAGAACAAAACGCACGCTGTGGGATTCGGCAGCTGCAGCTAGCTGGGAAAACTAGACAGGTGCTAAAATCCAATGGCTGCTTCAGGCCTGAGCCTCAGACTATGCTTTTGGCCACAGCCAGCAGTCTTCGCTTATGCGGGATGTTTGTTACTCTCACGTTTCCTACCTCCATCAGCGCTGCCAAGAATGTTCAGGTTCCATGACAATTAAATACAAAGCAGTGTCCAAATATTATACGTAAACTTGGAACATTAATTTCCCATGTAAGTCCTAACTGTAGTACTGAAGGTCTTTTCTTGCTGGATTTTGGATTTAATGGTTTAGACCTCCAACAGGCAAGTTACTTAGTTGTGTCATTTATAGAATGTGGTTGGGAAAAGATATTGTGTAGAAATACAACAGCCAGCCCTCTTTCTATTTATTTGGAAGAAAGATTTACTGAGTTAAGGGGTATTGCTCCATCCAAATAATCAAGGTTTGGGAATCTTGTCATTGGGTGTCACTGATCTCTAGTCTTTTTATCCACAACATTCAGGCAAATCCTACTTTAACAAGCAGCCCTACATAAAATAATGAAGACCTGCCAATCTCTCTGAGGAACTCAAAACTATCCTATACTTAAGGTTCAAACTACATATAGCAAAAACCATCAAGATTCCTGTCAAAAGTTGATAGGTCAGTCCAGCCTACCCACAGGTCATTCCTCCTCCCTTCCCACCCACCCCCGCCCACAATATCATCAATAGCACATTATACTCAACTTGCTTTTGTTGGGGGATGAGATCATTTCAGTTTAGCAATCTAAAGCAGGACAGAAAACTCAATATGGACCTGCTATTTGTCAGAATCTGGTATTGTTTGCACATATATAGTTCAGCCCCTGCTTGTCACCTGTCTTCCACAATCATGAGTGAGCATCAGTTTCTGGGTCTCAGTTCCTAACAGATCCAATTGATGGAGGAAAATAAATGGAAATTGCTGAATCATTATTTTACTTTCAGGAATATTGGTTTGTAAGTTTGTTTGTTTTTTTAATTCTTCATTTTCCAACAGAAACTAACCTGGGACTGGAGATTAGTGTCCATTGTCCATGCAACACCTTTCAATCCAATGGTGACATTCTGGAGAATATGCATGAGGTGCTGGAGATCAAATTCAAAGGTGACAGAAATGAAACTGGAGGGGAAAGTAAAATAACTCACCTAAATCTGGATATTGTTATGGCATTCCTGGCCTAATTATATTACATTACATTCCAACATGTGTGCTTCTATATGAGCAATTGCTGGATATTCATTCATTCATTCATTCATTCATTCATTCATTCATTCATTCACAGTAGAGATGCAGTGGATAGATAGTGAGTGTGGGCATTTGTATACTTACAGATTACCTTAATAGCAGTCCCCGTTTCAGGGAACTCTAAGCCTTGTGCTTAGAATAGGCATCTCTTAACAATATTCTCAGTGTTTTCACAAAACGTTGGGGAAAACTGTGATGTTTATACTGGCATAAAACTGCTAATTGTTATAGATATTACCCCTATTACTGAGTTATATATAAAAGTTCATAAATCTGTAGACATCCAGCCTCTCACAAACCCAGCTCTGCTATGCTGTTGGAATATGTGGGCGCAGAAATTAGGAATGGCTTGTGGTAACCATAGGAAGCCAGTAGCTTGTAGACTCAGCATTAGTAAGTACCTGGCTTTTGGCCTTGCAATGTGGACAGTAGTATTTACAAACTTTGTATCTCAGATCTTTTTTCTGTTGTTCAGTTCCAGTTGTCAGACGTCATTCATCATTAAGTAGTTCATCTCTTTTGGCCTGTTCAGGAACTGGCTTTTATGGATTCCAAGAGTTCCTAATGCAGTTCTAAAGCAAGTATGAGATTTGATGTCTGCCTTTTCCCCACTTTTTGCAGGCATAGACAGTGAAGATAGCCATGGCCGCGGGGACTTGGGGAGACTGAAGAAGCAAAAAGATCTACAAAACCCCCACTTGATCCTGATGATGCTGCCTCCACATCGTCTTGGGAGTTCAACTGTGAGAAGCCAGAGAAAGAAACGAGCACTTGACACCAATTATTGCTTTCGGTAAGCTAAGATTTCTGCACCTACCTTCCCCTGGAAATTAACCATTTCTCTGGCAAACAATGCTCTGGAAACCAACATTGGGATGGTTTTGGATAAATTTGGAATTGATAGTTAAGTGCAACTGATTAACCACACTGGTGAGTTGATCATTAATGCTGTCTCTGAGATCTATAATTTCTGCTTCCAAAAATATAAATCTTGCTGATTTATTAATCCTCACTTTAAATGTGAACTGAGTATCTGAAAATTATTCTCTGGCTGAGAGAAGGAAAATGGAAGTTTGAGTAGAACGAGTCCAGACATCCTTCAAGAAAAAGAGAAGGCAAGTGCTCTCTTTCTTTTGCATGTTTGTTTGTTTGACTTATATAGCCACCCATCTTATGGACCATAACTTTGGTGGCCCACACAATAGTAAAAACAATTAAAAGCAATATCTGAAAAAACCCATACCTAATACATAAAAAATCTACAATCATTAGGCTCCAGCTGTATCCTATCCACACCTGGGGGAAAAGTCAGCTTTTTAAGGCCTTCTGGAAAGCCAAAAGGGTGGAGTCCTCCTGGATCTTGGGGGGAGGTTCCACCGGGTGGGGTCCTCTACTGAGAAGGTGCACTTCCTGGGTCCTGCTAGATGATGACATGTGAGAGAAAGGACCTGGAGAATGCCCACCCTATCCAGCCTGGTGCAGCAGGTAGGAATCCTCAGGGAGAGGTGGTCCTGCAGATAACCTGGCCCCATGCTATACAAAGCCTTAGAGGTGATAACCAGCACCTTGAATTGTACCTGGAAAGAAACTGGAAGCCAGAACAGCTGGCACAACAGTGGTGTAATATGGGCAAAGTGAGTGGTGCCCCAAACTGCAAGCACCACTGCATTCTGAACCAATTATAATTTCCAGTCTTCAAGGGGACCTCATGTAGACTGCATTGTAATCCAGCTGGGAAGAAATCAAGGCGTGGGTGACTATGAGCAAGGCCTCCCAGTCCAGGAATGGGTCCAATTGGTGCACAAGATGGATCTGTACAAAGGCCCCTCTACCCATGACTGTCCCCTGTTTCTCAGGCAGGAGTTGCAAGTCCAGGAGGCCCTCCCAAATTGCATACCTGCTCTGTCCGGGGGAGTGCTACCTCACTGAGAGTAAAAGATGACACCTCTCCAGATTCAGAGAAGACAAAAACCCCAAGCCACTCCATCTTGCTACAGATATGAGCCAGGTGCCAACAGCACTTGGAACATTACATTTCTTCGCAGCCCAAACTTGATACGTACTGTCTGGATTGCAACTATACTAATGTACTAGGTGCAAGAAACCAGGAATCACTGAGGCAGAGGCAGAGAGGAGAGAGAAATTCCTTTTAAATGCTGCAGTCTCAGTGATACCAGGAACAAAACAGGTTCAGTTGGACTCAGAATAAGCTGAACTTTTTTGTGTGAGTTCAGGAAAAATATGAGTTCTTTTACATAATGGGTGGGCTGCATTTAGCTTGATAGATACAGGCCTGTTTTATTGAAATCTCAGGACTGTTGTCAGAGCAGGTGTCCAAAGCATGGAGTCAGAGAAGCAGATGAGCTGTATGGATTAAAGGATTATCTATAAACGAAACTCTTTTCATCCTCTGGTTCTGCCCAAACTGTCCTGTCTCTTGGAATGTAATACGGAGAGGGATAGTGCAAGTGGAGCTGAGAAACTGCTTTTTCTCATCCATTGTTCATAATTCCCTTCTTATTCTGCTCAGCAGCCTTCTGGGATCATGTATTTATTTACTCATCATAGCATCAACTGTAAAGGTGTCACAGCGGATTCCAATAATACAGCTTGGAAGATCTGCTGTCTAGCTAAGAGCAGTAATATGCCCCTGAATCTTCTGTCACTTGTGTAAGGCAGCCCCAAGGTTTGTTTTCTCCACAAAGCCGACCTAATCACGACAGCTTTGAAAGATTTATAGTAGCTTCCCATGTTCTTTTTCCTGATTAAAAGAAACAGCCCTCTCTTTTCAGGCTAGTTTTCATCCTCTTCTTCATCTGTTTCATTAATGAAGTTTCATATTAACAAAAGTTGGGGGGGGAGGGGAGGGCCTAGTAGATTTGCTACTTTCTCCTTGCAATTTTGCTCAATTAAAAAAAAAAAAAAATCTAAAGCCTTGGCCAGCCACTGACACCATTTTTTTTCTGGATTAGCTTCCTGTGCATAGTGACACATTCCATGATGGTGGTTGCCAAGTTCTCTATTATCTGTCATTCATTCATTCATTCATTCATTCATTCATTCATTCATTCATTCATTCATTCATTCAAGATGGTTGTCTAACTCAGTGCTACTTACTATCTCTTTAGAACCAATAGACAAAAAACATCAAAACAAAAAATAAAAAATACAAAATATCACTCACATATCTGCACAATTAACCCCTTTTAAAAATAGGCTTACCTAATGTCTTTGCCCAGAGACTATGGGAAATGCGAGGTCTTCAGTGCTTTATGAAAGGCCAGAAGGACCAGGGCCATATAGATCTTGGAGAGTATGGTGTTCCACAGGGCAGGCACAGTGACAGAGTATGCGGGCCTCCTGGGTCCCATCAGATGACAGTTGAATAGACCTAGAGCATGTTCACCCTACTGGAACTTGTGGCAGAAACAATTGGAGATAGGTGGTTCCGCAAATAACCCAGCCCTATGCCAAGAAAGGTTTTATAGGTGATAACAAATCTTTGTACCTGGCAGCTTACTGGGAGCCAATACAACTTATAGAGTGGTGGTATTACATGAGTGTACTGAGGTGGGCCCACAACTATCCACCCTGCTGGTTGCAGCTTCTGAGTGGTCTTCAAGGGCATCTCCATGAAGAGTGCATTTCAGTAATCCAGAGAGGAGGTGACAAAGCACGAGTGACCATGAGCAGCCTTCTGTTCCAGGGATGGCACAATTGGTGCACAAGATGAATTTGTGCAAAGGCCTTCCTGGCCACAGCTGCTGCCTGGTCTTTGAGCTGGGGCTGAGAATCTATTAGGGCCTCCAAATTATATACAAGTTCTGTCTGGGGAAATTCTGCCCCTGAATTTATTTAATATATTATTGAATTTGAATAAGTGATTCCATTTATTTAATGCCAACTCCCTTTTGTTATAGGAATCTGGAGGAGAACTGCTGCGTACGCCGTCTCTACATTGATTTTCGTCAAGATCTGGGCTGGAAATGGGTGCATGAGCCCAAGGGATATTTTGCTAACTTTTGCTCTGGACCATGCCCATACCTTCGCAGTGCAGATACCACACACAGCACGGTAATATGGGCAAAAAGCTTACAATTTAGGGCATCTTCTTTCTCTCCCTACCACCCAAGGACAGTTACGTTTTATGGATTTTTGTCATTTACTGAGGCTGTAATCTTGCACCTAGTTTCTTAAGTTTTTATTAAACTTAGTGGAACTTGAGTAAATATGGGCAGAGGGACAGATAATTTGTAGATACATTTCTTGGAACTCACCAGAAACTTCACTTCCTTTTTAAAAAGAAACCTTTTAATTTTTTTTTTTTTTTAAGTTAACCAAGAAGTTGGCATCCTGGAAAGCAAAACACTGGTCTCTAGCATAATCTTTATTTACAAGAACAGTTCTGAATACTACATAAATACTATAGATCAGCCTTTCCCAGCCTTAACACCCTCAGGTTGTGTGGAGTACAACTCCCTGAACCATCAGCCAAGCCCATGCTAGTTGAAGAAGTATGGGAATTAAAGTCTAAGGTCATGAAAGTACCTGTTTGAGGAAGGCTGCCATAGCATTCTCAGAAAATAAAAATGGGTCAGAAAGCTCTCTCCTCAGAAGTCTGCTTAAATGCCCAGAAAGAAAAGCAAACAAAACTTGAGGTACTTCCCCTCTGTCACACCCTCTGCCTTCATCTTTGGGTGAATAGGTCTTTTGTGGCTGGCTACATCTGCCATGGCAGCTATTTTGTGAGTAAGCAAGCCTCTCTCCCATGGCAATCATTTTGCAAAACAACCCACAACATGGTCTCCACTCGACTCCCCAAACGAATGCACTGGAGCTCACAGAATGATTCTCCCTTTTTACCATGCTGGTAAACATGGGCAAATATGTTTAGTCAAGACACACTTAAAAATCCATGGTTGCCAAAAGAGGCAGCCATTCTGCTATGCCTGGCTTTTCCTTACAGGAAATAAAACAGTTGCTTTGACAGGGAGTATTTTAGTTTTGGAAAATGTCATGGAGAGTATAACATTTCCCCTCTCCAAACACTGTGGCCTCCTTCCCTCCAATTCCACTTTGCTGGTATCTGGTTTTTATTTTTTTCAAAAAAGGCAGTGTGAAATCCTGGTCATGGCTTTTCCAAGATTGTGTAAAGAGAGACATTATTCAAAATGGAATTAAGATGTAGAATGAAGTTTGTGTCAAAGGAAATAGGATATAAAAACTCAAAATGCTTCTTGTGTTTTTAATTTGGTGCACCCAAAGAAATGGAATGAAAATGGCATTCCCTAACTCTCAGATTAGTCCTATTCCAGGGACACTAATATGGCACAACCATTATGCACTATAGTTCAGTTGCAGATACACCTAATGATTCTCCTCCCCCTCCCCATGATCCACTCATCCAAGGTTTGTTTTCTGACTGCTCTGATATGTGAACCTAGTGCGATGACAATTGCATTGGAAGAACCTAGAGAAGGAACTCATTAATAAGTTCACGCCAATCATGCATTCCCTCTCTGGCTTTTCCCAGCTGAAAGTACTTCTGTTCCAACTTTGCTGAAAAGGAAATCAGGGAGCGAGAGTTTGCAACTAATATCAGTGGGCACATTTTGGTTAAACCGTAACTGGTGATGGCCATGTTATGCAATTGCACTCATTATTCTGCTCCAAGAGGTGAACTGCCCACAATAAAATAAGAAAACAATCTACATACCGTTAGACACAGTATTTCTCTCTCTTCTCACCCTGTAAGTCAAATTTTAGAGTGATATGAAGTGGTTTACTATGAAGAAGCATTCTGCCCAGAATTTCTGGTGAGCAAAAATGAAACCTAGTCCTGGGTTCTACACCATCTTTGCTTTCTACCCATTTTCTGGGCCTTGGGCCAATAAAAATATTAGTTCTTTTCTGTAAAATAAATTTATTAAGGGTTAGCTGAAAAGGATTTTCCCCCTCTGGCAACAGTTATTGAAGTCAGTATTAAACCATTGTGGTTGTTAATGCCTGTTTTAAGTATTTATGTGGCAAAGTACTGTAACAGTTATTAGCTTTGGCCATAGAGGAGAATTTCCATGATGGACGACAGCTACCCAGCGCAGGTAGGAAACACCCAATGAAGCCTTGGAGCAGTTTTTCCATCAAGGTGTTGCTTATATTGCAGTTACCGTGAATATAGAGGAATTGATTGAAGAAATATTTATTAGCAATGCAGGATTTTAAAAAGTATCTATTTACCATTTGGTTGTGCATATTTAAAATCTGCACGATAGGAAAATTAATCCATGACTCAGTTTAGACATTATACTAAGTCAGTTTCTTTAACCCCATGGGGCTAAATAAGCTACAATTAAAGTTTACACAAAATGATAAATAGTAAAACATACAGTTCACTGTGGCTGGGTTCATACAAACACACTAAGAATCAAACATATTATGGCTCAGTATAATGTGAAAACTCAGTGTCTCTGTTGTTAAATGGGGCGCAGTGCTTCTAAGGAGGAGCCATGCTCTTTCTCTACATGGCAGTTCTAGTAGTTAATGGCAGGCTGTCCCAGACTAGAAAATATTGAACTTCAAAAGTGTACCTTCATTATCGCCTTCTGTATACAATATTATTTCTTAAAATAATGAGAGGAGAGGAATTGTTGGGAAAATTTCATGGGCCAAGGAGAAGGCTGATGAAAAGTGTAGACTTACAGTATCTGGACAAGTTCCACACCCTGACTTTGGAAAGTAGACAAATACTATAGTTTTCCTGGGCTTTCTTCTGATCTCCTCTCTAACAATATGTACAATGGAGCAAAGCAAGTATCTCACTTGGACTTGTAGAGGACTGAAACAGTTGGGAGGTGAATGTTGATACTTGAGAAGGACTGGATTAAATCCAGTATGATTTGGAGATGCTGGCCAAAGTAAGTTGATTTTTTTCAGCTGTTTTTCTTGAAACTCTAACAGGACTATAAGACGGTTACACCCAGTTTATTTATTTATTTTTTAACAAAAGAATATACTAAAGAACTACATATGCTAAGACAGAGGTTTGGGTGCTATAAGACTTACTTAGCTGCTCCAAATGAAAAATCATTTGATTGGTAAATTATTCAGTATATTGATCCAGTGGTTGAGGTGAGGTTGGGGCTCTAAATTTTGGGTTTTTGAAATATGTTTTCTGCCTAACATTAATCCTGGCTGGCTGGCTGGCCAGCCAGCCGTAACTAAGATCCTCATATATTTCTTGATTGTTTTTCCAGGTTCTTGGTTTATACAATACCCTGAATCCTGAAGCATCTGCTTCCCCCTGTTGTGTTCCCCAGGATCTGGATCCCCTGACCATCTTGTATTATGTTGGAAGGACCCCAAAAGTGGAACAGCTGTCTAACATGGTTGTGAAATCTTGCAAATGCAGCTGAAAAGGACCTAGTGCAATCCACAGCTGAAAAACTGCAACCACCACCCTTGGTCCCAGAGTAAAACTCAAACCATTTCTGCCTTCCTGGCTATATCTCCTTGTTCTCTGTGAGGGTTTTTCTCCATGTATGGATATTTGAGGAGGTGGACACACATACAAGCTAGATTTTTAGTGGACAAAGGCCATCAAATAAGGAATTCTCCCAAGGAGGAAATCATGAGCAGAGCGGGAGCATATAGAACTTAGAGGAAAACTAGACTTCTTTGCCCATCACTGTTTCTTCGAACTCAACCTTTCTTGCAGGAGGAGGATGGTTTCCTTTTAACAGAGCATATTTTATTAGCAACCATACCACAATGGAAGTAATTATTCTGCAGACAGTGAGCACAGGAATTTGTGGTCCAAATAGTTCAGAAAGAGGAACTTTCTCACAAATAGAAACTCTTCTCCACCTTCTCTTTCCTCCTGGAACACCTACTGGAGGGCTTCTGGCACAGAGGTTGGCTTTATTCCTGTATCCCAACCCTATTCTTTGGTAATCTTTAAAGAATCTTGAGGCTGTTGTGGTGGTTGAGATGTTCTAAAGAAATCTGCCCATCTTGCACAAGGACCTAGCCTAGGCCATACCTGCCAAAATTTTATACAAAATGTTAATCTCAATGTTGTAAAAAATTAAATTTGGGGGAGGGATATTAGAATTTTATGTTCAAGAAATTTGTTTCTCCAGAGAGAGAAATACCTCTACAGCTGTGGAAGAAGCAAGAGAGGTCAGTCTATAGCACTGAGAAGCACTTATTGCAACAAGAAGCCACCCTTTTTGAAAACATTTTTCAGTGACTGAGAGTCATGGAGGGAATGGCAATGCTGCAATGACATTGCACGAGGCAGTGGGACCAGATGGTTCAGTTGTTATCTAGCCACCTTAATTTGGTGGTGTTGGGTTAATGTTTTTTTTCATTTGTTTTTAATGATGTGTTAAACCTATGTGACTGAACTTGATGTACTTATATTATTTTGAACTAGCCCCTCTTTAAAAAAAATTGGAAAAATCACTCCATTGTTATTTGACATTTATGATCCCAAGGGACTGATCTGTGGGCTCCCTGTGCCTGGTTTATTATTAGTTTTTCCAGGAAAGCACACAGACTGACCAATCCAGATAATCTTCAGAGACATGCACCAGGATGGATTGGTTTCAGTGGTCAGGAATAGATGTTAAGTATCAGAGTGAAAGCGGCAGCTCTCTGGTCTGTGGCAGGGATGAATGCTTCTTAAGGTCCTAACAACTGAAGATCCCACACTTTTAGAACAACAGTTGTTTCAGTATCAGTGTCTCAATGGCCTTTATTTATTGGATTCAGCCATATCCAAAAGGCACCACCTTTGTCAGTCTGACTGCTGGCACACTCTCCCTATTACTTATGTGTCAATTTCACATGTTTAGACATTGGGTGGATAATTTTTAAATCATTAATTACCCGGATAGTGGACAATCTGAATGAGGAAACAGGTATGGGGAGGTAAGGGACTTCATCTCTTTGCCCCATTGCCGTGGCCCTCTTCCAACTCTTCTTTCATACAGGATGGAAGTAGTCACTTTATGCAGGTCAGGACAACAACAAGGGAGTTTCGGACCCCGCTCCCCCCACTTGGGTTCTAATCATATTGGAATTCTACATCTTTACTTCAAATTTTTTTTTTTAGATTGTTAATGAAAGAATACTGTTGGAAGACCTGAAGGACTAAGTTAGAGACAAATCTTTAGGATTAGGGTTAGAAAATCTATCTATGTGGAACGGTGAGAGTCAACACCGACTTGATGGCACATAATCAGTGGAAGAATAACAGATATTCCTCAAGGTGAGGAAGAACACATTTGGCTTCCAAATCACATTGAGGTCCTTGTGCAGGGAATCAGAAAACCACTGTTTCAACACTTTTTTTTTTTTTTTGCTGCAAAGTGGGCTATTGGAGATTGCCAGTTCAGAATGTGATATTGAATTGCATATTGCTCTCCTTTATTTCTGTTAAACCCTAGCTAGGCCTCTCTCTAGCATAGCCGTATTACTGTTCACTTTCTATCATGCTGTTCTAATTGCTAATAAGAAACATTTTTATGAAACATGAAAAAGTCCAGATACAGCAGCTGGGGTGGTGTCAATCTATCATATCGACACTTTTGGCTGAGAGCCCATGGCAGAGAAACTCAAATTCAGATAAGAGGGTACTTCCCACTTATTGCTTAGCTTTTAGCCTTTTAATTTTTCTTTTAAGATCTCCTTGATATATAACAATCAAGTTAGAAGTGAAGCAAGTAACTGTCCCAAGGACATACTTTACTATGTTTTAACTTTTGTGGACAAGAGACATCTCTTGATTTCTGCAATAATCTATATAATTTTGAAGTGAAATATTTATAAATAAATCACAGCACATAAATTTAATCATTTGGAATCTTTTTCTGCTCTACGGTTGCTTCTGATGCTCCTTAAAAATGAATACAGTTGGATGCATTTTTTCCTCAGCAAGATTGATTCTTTTGAAAATTGATCTAGATTTTGATTTCCAAATGCCATTACTGCATTTTCACTGCCTAGGATAATATTTACATTTCCTTTTTTAAATGTCAGTCTCCTATGTAACCGCACATTCTAATACCAACTCTGCAATCTTCAACAACAGTTTTAGACTTAATTACAGAACCACCCTTTATAATAAAGAACCAAACATCTCATTTTATACTTTCACTATCATACTTCCTTTCTGCAACACAAAATGCCTGTTACAAAATATCTCTAAGACATATATTAATGATATTGATCAAAATTAAGGAGGACAAATTGGAGAAAATTGCCTGAAGTCTACAAAGATTGCTACATCCTACAGAGGATGCATTTTAGTTCCTTTAATGTGGCATTTTATTCAGTGCTCTCTAAGGTAATGCAGTGATAATCACTGAGATGTGAGGGGAAAGGTTGCATCTTCTGTTCTAGCATGCATTTTATAAATGAGACAAAGTCTTAGTCTTATGGTGACAATCAGTTCTGAACAGGTAAACATGTAGAACTGTTCTGATGTTCAACTTCCATCTGACTTATTCCTGTTGATGAACAGCAGTAGGACAAAACCAAAAAAACAAAAATCTCAAACACTGAGATGATGTTTGGCATGAAGACAGTATATGCTCATAGAATTATCTTAACATCATGAAAGTACAGCCCTGGATCAGATGGTAAGCATTATGGAGTCATGGCTGCTTGGCCAAGCAGGGCATATCTGGGAGACTTAAGGATTTTTCCAAAGTAGTATCTAACAAACTGGTCTTGATATTCACTTATAACAGGGATATATCAAGAGAACGACTATTGTCCTGCTGCCTTCAGAAAATTTTAAGTCTTAAATCTCAATCTCTTGTCTAGAAATGTCTTGACATTTCAGAAGCACCGTTGGCTTCAGTCAAGGTACTTGGAAAAACAAACACTAAGGGTAATTACCTTTTCATCTCAAATATCTTACTAGTATTTGTCTGTAAAACCCCTTTCCACTTTCAGTCCAAAGGTTCCAAACTAATTCAATCTCTTGGATCTTGTGAGATGTCAGTGTAAAACATATATGTTCAGTGTCACTGAAATAATCAGAGAATTTGAAATTCTGATTCAAAATTCCCTAATTAGTTTTTTTTCCTAGGTGTGAGAGTAACTGGAGCACGATGGGAATCGTTCTATTGAAAAGCCTTGAAGAAAGAAGCAAAATATGGGAAAACAAAATGGTGTTCAGTGGCACTCAAAACCTGTTACTCAAAGCAGATATTTGCTATTTAACTAGCATTAAGGTTGAACTACTTCTCATCTTGTCCACTAAGATGACAAAATCCACATGTGTAGATCAAAAACTATGACTTTCTCTGTGAACTTCAAGATAAACAGAGCAATCCCTTGACAAGATGCAGCAACTGCTATATGCAAAAATCCACAAGTAAATCCCAGAAATGTTTTCAGCTATCATGGTGAAGCTACACAAATGAAAATTATACAGCAAGTTGAGAAGTAGGCACAAGTTCAAAAACCAAAGACCCCTCCCCTGCAAAAAAGAAAAAAAAATGAAAACAGTCCTGCCTACATGTATGATGTACCTCTTTCCATCACTGCCTCATCCATTGTAGGTTTTGTCACTCTTCCGCCACCCCAAGCATTAACTGTGGCCACCTGCCATACATATGAGCCCTGAGATACCTACATAAAAACTATGTCTTACCAGACATGCATAGGACATACTTCTTGCAAGCAAAAGGTTTGGATATAGAAAAAGGTCAAATTGCAATGACAGATTTCTGTTTGCTTTACAGATCTTCCTCTTTCAAAAGTTGAATTACCTCACAATATAAATAAGTGAAAAGCATTTAGAATGCTAAATGAAGCTGAAGTAATGAAGTACCTTTGCTCACATTAATGATCTAAAGTGACAATTTCTATGAGAGGGCTGAGTCTTGGAAACACAAGTCTTTAGAACATGAACTGATGAAATGTAAATAAATGTAAGGAAAAACATAACATAAGAAAAAAACCTGGAATAAATTGTCAACTAATTGGTAGAATAACTTATAAGTTAAACAAACAAAATGATTGACTTTATTCACAGACTGAGAATTTTTATGGCTTCTTGCCAACATTGAAGATAGCATCCAGCACAAGTGTCTATAATCAGTCAGCATTTTAACCTCATGTGTCAACTGTAGTCATGTAGTATGAACTGTGTCCACCATCTAGTAGACTAACTTCATCATGCTCAGGGGAAGCCGAAATGTCTAACTGGAAAGAGAAATCTGGGCCCTGTGTACATAATATAGACACAATTCAGAATTTCTATCTTACGAGCCATAACCACAATTTAAAGGCTATCTGGTAGAAGATGTGATACAGAACACAAAGGAAACCCTGAGACTTGGCAGCAAAAGCTCAGTAGAGTAGAAACCTCATGTCAGAGCTTGAACACTATTTCCACAAGCACTCAGCTGTTTTTCTCTCCTAAGGGAAAATGCTGGAGTCTGAAACAAGTCTTGCTATCAATCTGGGTGTAGCCAGGAACGTGGAATGATGAACAGTCATTCCTGCTTCATCTCCTCCTTGCATGCTGAAGCACTGAGCTGGTTGTTTATTCATTATTTAGGGTGAATCCTTCTTCAAAAAGTAAGTACAAACAGGAGCTGAAAGAAACATAAAAGAAAAACCAATTAACAGCTTTCAAAAAGTGTACACTGACTCACAAGATGCAGGAGTTTCTCTTGATACAACTGACAAAACTGAAGGGACAATCCCACAAACCTTTAATGGCTAGCATAGGAAATGCTACTGTAATATTTCCACTCACGTTTTCTGGACTTTCCATCTATCAGAGATCAGAATAGGCTCTGCAGTCATGACTCCCTCCTTACAATGACTTCGAGTAGCTTATATGGAAAGAAGCTCTAGCTGTTCACTGTATGATGCCTGCTGTGTTCCAATTGGACATTAATATGCCCAGCAGGAAGTGGATGTTTGAACATATGAATAATACACCAAAACAAACTCTTCATTTAATGTTGCTATATATAAAATGCATGTTACTGCATCTGTAATATTATTTCTCAGTCTACTCAACATGGCATTCAACAGTTATATTATTATGAATAATCCATTATATATACGAGAATGAGAGCCTAGTGGACTTCCAGGGAAGAAATGGGGAACTCAAGATGGCTCCACTAAAAGTGGAGCCAAAGACTGTGGTGATATGAAGATCCTGTGAGTAGACTGGCTCTTTGTAATTCCTCTCCAGACAAGGAGAGAACTTGAGATTGCCCACAAGTGCTCCAGACAATTGCTCCTCACAAGAAGACTACAAGCCAGAGGCTTCTGGCAGGTTTAGAGCTCTGGGAGACAAGGGAATAGCCATCTTGCTCAAACCATGGTCACAGCCTTCAAAAGGACACTCGGTTTGCATACTTCCTTTTCTAATCACTTTTGGAAATTGCTTGTTAATTGCTTTTCAGCTATTAGGAACCTTTGGACTGACAAGTTTGAAAACACAGAGTGAATTTCCTTCAATTCTTAATGAAATAAGTTTTAAATACAAGTTAAGGACTTAAAAAATACTTTTGGGAGAATAAACAGCAAAAGGGTGATTAGAACTTTGATTTTGGAAAGTTATAAATGGACTAAAGGTCCAGGTGGATTTGAAATAAGACTTTGGAATTAATTATAAGAATCTTTCCTGTGGGAAAATGCTTTTGTTTTGAATTCTTAAAAAAAAAAAATGATAGGATGGGACTTTGAAGGTTGGAAACTAGAGGAATCTAGAGGAAACTAAAGATTACAATTAAAGGAGAAGAACACTTAAATTTGACTTACTAATACAGAATGGA